ATGATGAGGATTAGCACCAAGCGTCTACAGGCCGAAGGAGGGAAGATTTGAAATAGGGTTCACTGAGTGAATGAGGAAGGAGGTTTCACAAAAGGGTTCTACATGTGTGTTGGGCAGGGGTTAGGCAGTGATCACAATGTGTGTAGGGAGGGGTTTCACTGAGTTTTCTGTCACCAGGTAATATGGAGAACTTTTCTAAAGCCTACCTGTGTAAGTAAAGCAGTATTTTTACAAGATACTGTAGATACAAATTTTCTTACATGTGTCATATATTATTTGTGGTATACAAACTTTAATAATTATGTACTGAATGTTGCTGTGCTGCTTTATTGCTGTTTTGTTTTTGTTAGCATCTGGGATCACCTTAATTTTCAAGAGTTCTTATAATTGGTGTGAGGACAGCATTACCAAGGCCTTCATTTGTTGCTCTTCTCTAATTGCCCTGAGATGGTCGTGATGAGTTAAAATTGAGTCACATTGGAAAATAATTTGTGAAGCACTGCCACAGTCCTTTACTTCACGTGTATAACCCAGTAAGATCATGTTTTGTTAATTGTACCAACTTCAGTCTTTATTATATGCACTAATGGCACTGAATGCTGAGGCTACTTTACTGATTTGATATAAGTGCATAAGTCCAAAGTCTTGACAATGATCGAATACAAACAAAGAGAAAACTAATAATTCTACCTATTTGAAGTAGAAAAGTTCCATCCATTTGAAGTGGGGTAGAAGCATTTACATTTCACTATAGATCATAAAAAATGTGCTACATGATAATTGTTTGTCACAAAAACATGTTCAGACTTTCTTTTCCTTTGTTTTAAATCAGTTTTCCATCCCTGGGGCAGCATGGTGGTTCATTGGTTAGCACCGCTGCCCCACAGTGCAGGAACCTGGGTTCAATTCCAGCCTCAGGCGACTGTGAGTGGCACAGTGGCTCAGTGGTTAGCACTGCAGCCTCACAGCGCGAGGGACCTGGGTTAGATTCCGCCCTCGTGTGACTGTCTGTGTGGAGTTTGCACGTTCTCCCATGTCTGCGTGGATTTCCTCTGGGTGCTCCAGTTTCTTCCACAGTCGAAAGATGTGCAGGTTAGGTGGATTGGCCATGCTAAATTGCCCGTGGTGTCCAGGGATGTGCAAGGTCAGTGGATCAGCTATGGGAAATGCAGGGTTAGAGGGATAGGAAAGGGGGTAGATCTGGGTAGAAAACTCTTTGGAGAGTCAGTGTGGACTCAATGGGCCAAATGACCTGCTTCTACACTAGGGATTCTGTGACTATAATATGAACATGGCTGAACTGGTCAAGACCTGAACTCCACTTAGCAGCTGCACCCCACCCTCCCCATGACCCTTGATTGCCTTGTTTTTCAATAATCTGCCTGACTCAATCTTGAATGTACTCAATAACCCAACCTCCACTACTGCATGGGGCAGTGAATTACAAAGAACAGTGACTGCAATGAAAAGAAATTACTTCTCACCTCAGAGTTAAATCCACAGCAGCCTTATTCTGAAACCACGTACTACATTCCCCAACATGGAGAAATATTGGACAGGATTTAATGCCCTCCCCCAAAGTTAGTTTGGAGGTAGGGGGCATTTAATCATGCAGGAGAGTGGCAAATAGGGATCCTGCTGCCTTTTAGCGTCTACCCCAATTAAGACGCAGCCTGGAAGGCTTGCAAATATCCTTCCTTCTTGACCACCAATTGAGGTGCTTAAATGAAGAATTAATGAAGGACAGGGACAAAATGCTGCTGTTCATGGTTTTCTTGTATTAAAAAAGCCAACAGGAAGATCCTCATTGTTGCTGTAAGGAAAGAATGTATTTATAAATATATTGGCACATATTTTGAGAGCTGTGATACTGTGTCCTCCTTCCTGGTGTTAATTTCATTCTGGCACCAGATTTTTAATCATTAAGGAAATCAAGGGTAATGGAGAAAGGGTATGAAATTGGCATAGTGGATTGTCGGATTAACCATGATCTCATTGAATGTCAGAATGGATTTGATGAGTTGAATGGCCTACATTCTCTGTTCAAGGATCAGGACTGTGTTTAGTAATAGCATAATAAAATTATATAAAGCCAAAAGCACTGCAGATGCTGTAAATTAGAAACAAAAACAAAAACAGAAATTTCTGGAAAAGCTTCCTCAGAGTTCTGAGGAAGGGTTACTCGATCCAGAATGTTAACTCTGATTTCTCTCCACAGATGCAGCCAGGCCTACTGAGCTTTTCCAGCAATTTCTGTATTTGTTTCAAGTAAAATGATATGTAGCTTCCAGTACATACAGGTGTGCCACACTGTGAGCCTAACTAACAGGCCTAAATTGTTTGTCAATGTAGTTCTTCACAAACTCAGAATTATTCAGGAAAATATCCAATGCAGAATCACAACTAGTTGTACTGCACCTTTTTCAACTCCACAGAATATGTGACATCCATTTCCTGGCTCACTTTTCAGGACTGACCAAACAGACACAACCTGTATGGTATAAAATTTATTCAAAGACTGGTAATTAACTGTCAATCAGCATTAATAGGTGCATTCTCCTTGGTAATGCCTCTACCTCTCAGAGTCCACTTCTCAAATCAATCAGCACTTTTCTTTCATGCAGTATAGATGTTGGTTTTCTCCTTGAATTGGTATTCTTGTAAATTATCCTGGTGAGTGTGGGAGGTAAAGCTTTGACAAAATGTGTCTTTTGAACAACTGTATATATATGTGTGTGTATATTTATGTATATATAGTATATATGGAGTGGTGGCTACTGCAGTAATTATGAATTGGTGCATCATTCAAAACAATCATTCACGGTGGCTCAGTGGTTAGCACTGCTGCATCACAGCGCCAGGGACCGGGTTCAATTCCACCCTTGGGTGACTGTCTGTGTGGAGTTTGCACATTCTCCCTGTGGGTTTCCTTCAGGTGCTCCGGTTTCCTCCCACAGTCCAAAGATGTGTAGGCTAGGTGGATTGGCCATGCTAAATTGCCCATAGTGTCCAGGGGTGTATAAATTAGGTGGGTTATAGGGGGATGGGTCTGGGTGGGATGCTGTGAGGGTTGGTGTGGACTTGTTGGGCCGAAGGGCCTGTTTCCACATTGTAGGGATTCTATGAACTTTGACAAAGCATAAGATTTTCAAGGCTGTTTGCAATAAGAATAATCGAACAAGAAACAGAGCTTTATGTCAATGTAATGATCTGTAACTGATTTCCGTCATTGAGGACTTCAACAATGCACCCTTTGGAGGAGCAGAGATTCATTGACAGCAACTTCTAGATTTCCACATGTAATTGCACATGCCAGAATGCTGATAGTTTCACCATCAGTACAATTGCAACTTCCTGGCCAATATATAATCGTGCTGATGGAAGATTTTAATACATTTTCATTACTATAAGCTCTTTAGTTAAACTCCTAATTAAAATGTTTTGATTTTCTGAATGTTATTAGCAGTATGATGTTAACGGCCCTTTGAGGGTTTTCAAAATTTTTCTTGGATGCTATATGTTTAAACTCCAATTTAAAATACATCAATTATGGTCTGATAAGTCTTCTACCATTCTCAGGTGCTGATGCTCTCCGTTTGCAAAATACCACAGCAAAAAACCACATAAATCAACAATTACAGATTGTAGTTATCTTTTACATTTAGTGTTGCTTCAAAGAGCCAATGTTAAATTGTAAAGATAATTGAAGGAGATGTCATATAATTGTAAAGCTAATATTTGAGGTGGCTTTCAACAAACAAGGCAGAAGAAGTTCATGAAGAAAGTTTCAAAGAGTAGATCAAAGATGGATGAATGTTCTACTGTCAATGGTAGTGTACGAAGAGGTACTGTTCAAAGAAAAAGTCAGATTAACAAAGGAGACCAGACTACACCCCCTGGAATATTTCCACTTTCTCCCCATACTTGTTGATTCCTTTAAAATCTAACATCCCACAAAAAATAAATCAATTTTAATACATTTTTATTTTCTGAACTACATATTACAGATATAAACCTACTACAGTTTTAGTCTGCCACTGTTGCTGAACAGTTCACAGAGCAGCTGCAAAACTTGGGAATGGATTACTCCTGTTCTTACATTGTTACATATTGAGGGGGACACAAACAGATTTGCAGATTGTTCTCCTTTATTTTGCAAACTGGATATCTTATTAAAACTTTAATTGTGTTGCTATAAGCTGGTTTGCTTTTTAATTTGGAATGCATTTCTGTTTGAATAAGTGACTAATTAGGTTTGATGTGCCAGAGATCTTTCACATTTTGATGCTGTATTGTCTCATGAATTTTTCTTTAACAAGATTTATAGCAATAATATGTAGCACACATTAATTAACTTGGCAAAGTCCTTGACAATGTTGATAATCAAAGGAAGGAATGTTTTTGTATATCACTCAGGTTATTACAGTTAAGCCTGGAGTCATTTACAAAATGCCAGTATGATCCCAAAGGATCATAAGTGTTGGCAATCACAGTTCAACGGAAAGCCACCACTTCCAGTGTCACTTTGAAGCTACTGCAGTCACATCTTTCTAATAGTGAGAGAAGCTTCTATACCTGAAATGTTCCATCATCACAGTGAGCTGCTTCTTCCTGAAACAAGAGCCATATGCAGCTTTAAATAAAAAAGTGTCTAAGAGCTAAGGTAATTAAACAAGATGAATCCTTTGTCTTATTGTCGTACTCTTAGATAGTAATTGGTAATATTTTTGTCACAGCACTGGCTGAATGTTTAAGTGTTTAATTTACTTCAGAACTGTTTATTGTGTTAATTTCCTAGTTTAATGTGGCTTAATGTAATGTTTTTCTTTTCTCATTGCTGCTGGAAACAGAGGTCATTTTATTCTGGCTTCTTTTGTGGCTATGTTTACAAATGTCAACACATTAATTACTGAGTTGAATTGTGAAGAAGAATTCACGGCTATCTTCTACATTGTAGGAAATCTGAAGACTACTGTGCATCTTTAGTCATAAATATTTGAAATGGCCACTGTGGAAAAAGCTACTGATTCACTCAGCGAGAACTCTGGAAATCTAACAATAGATGAATCCTACCCAACATCCATCAATGATGACATGGATTCATCATCTACCATCCACTTACCTAATATCTTTGTCTATCTGTCAATTTTCCTAAGCTTGCTAGCTTTTTTGATTTTATTTCTGGTAATTGCATTGCAGAAGCTTAAGAATGTCACTGCTTTTAGTTCCTCCTGTCACGAAGATACAAGCAACACAGGGAGTTCTGAAACCAATCTGGAAATATGTAGCCTTTCATCAAGGTCATCTGGTTTCTCAGCTTTGTCAAGCTAAGCAAGAATGATAAAGAGAAATATTAATTCCAAAGTTCAAAATAAAGAATAATTACCCAAAACTCCTCTGTTCCGTGCAAGTTTTAAAAAATATACTGACTCAGCAATAATGTGGAATTATGTACATATGTGAATTTTAATCATTCAAATAGTCCTGATGTTTACAATTGCTTAAAAATTGTACATTTCAAAGTATATTTTGATCTTAAAACATTTTCAGATTAGAAACAAACCTAATAGTATTCACAGAATAATGTAGTCTAGCACAAAGGTGTACTTCAAAATATTGCTTCTTTGTGCTAATGTTGATTTAAAGAGTGATTTTCTGGTTTAGTCAGGAACAAAATTTACTTAGTTAAAGGTGGATTTGTCCCTTTTGTGGTGATGAATAAGACAGGAAATTTTTGCACATTGTGTCAAGCACAAATAAAAACAGTGCATGCGGTGTTATTTTCCTGTATGAGTTAAACCATTGTACTGTGTATAATATAATGCTGTACTGGAATCTGGAATATATTGCCTAAAAGGAATATAGAAACAGGAGTAGGCTATTCATCCCCCTGAGCCTGTTCCACCAGTCAATGAGTTGATGGTTGATCTGTGGCCTAACTCCATTTTATCAGCCTTTGACCCATATCCCATAATTCCTTTGTTTAACAAAAAAATCACCTATCTCAGATTGAAAACTGATCTAGCATCCAGTGTCATTTTGGAAGAGAGTTCCAAACATCTACAATCATTTGTGTAGGACTTTTTCCTGACATCTCTCCTGAATGAGATAGCAAGAACTGCAGATGCTGGAGTCAGAGACAACACAGTGTGGAGCTGGATGAACACAGCAGGCCAGGGAGTATCAGAGGAATAGAAAAGTCAATGTTACGGCTTAGGACCCTTCTTCAGTCCTGAAGAAGAGTCCTGACCCGAAATGTTGACTTTCCTACTCCTCTGATACTGCCTGACCTGCTGTGTTCCTCCACCTCCATACTGTGTCAGCTCTCCTGAATAGTGTGATCCTAATTTTCACACTATGCTCCCGAATTCTAGAATCCCCAACCAGTGAAAATAGTTTATCTTTATCTATCCTGTCTTTTCATGTTAATATCTTGTAGACTTCAATTATATCACCTGACAACCTTCTAAATTCTAGAGAAAGCAGGCCTAATCTGTATAATGTCTTCTCATAACTTAACCCCTGAAGACCAGGTATCAAGGGTAGTGGAAGCTGATTCAACAATAGCTTTCATAAGGGAATTGAAAAATCAATGGATAGGGAAAAAATGGCAGCTGCAGGGAAAAGGCAGACAAATAGGACTAATTGGATGATTGTTTCAAAGAGCCAGCCCTGGCATGGTGAGCAGATTGGCCTCACCCTGTGCTGTATCATTCAATGAGTCCAATAAAAAAAACACATTAATCTTTTATAGGATTTCTACTGAAACATAAGACTTTGCTACAATATATTTTTGCACACTTTTGACTACGATGAGTATTGTTGAAATTATAAGCTGCTTTACATTGTAGTAACGCTGTAATTTCACTGACTGCAAAAACAATTGAAATGTGCAACTTATTCATAAATTGATTTCACCTGGAGACTGCACACTGGCAAAAATACTTCTTACAGAAATAATGTATGTTATTCAAATAACAATTCAAAAAATTCAATAGTCATTTATGGTCAGTTGATTGTAAAATTATGGCAAGGCTTCAGGAATGACTTTGTGTAGTACTACCCTTACTAACACTGCTAAATCCTAACGTGTCTAGAATTTCCCTATTTTCATTTATTTCTGCAGTTTCAATCTTAGAATATTTCTTGATGAATCTTATTATAATCTAATGTCTATTGACCTTAAATTCTGCTGTTGTATTGATACAGTTTATGATTTGACACAACTGGGCATTTAGACTTTTATTTTCCAGAGAATATATGACCTCATTTCTGGCATGATACACCGCCTCAGACTTAGTAATAATGTCATTGACATGGCTATTCTGTGAATTTATCAACATTGTTTCACATTTGTCACAACTTTCTCAGTATTTTGAAATCGTACTTGTGACTCTTAAGACTAAATAATTTATCCAACTGATGAAAAGCTGTGGTTCCAAGGTTGGTCACTGTAGTATATCATTCCTATCTTCTATCAATGTATGTAATTATCTTTAACATCAAATCTCTATTTTCTGTTTTGTAGTCAACTTGATGTTTGTTTGCATTTATTGATTTTGTCCTGAGTCCATTATGGGGTGCTGTATCAAAGGCCTCAGGAAAATCCAAATTTATTGTATTTATACCATTACCTGTGTCCAGTCTTTGTAACTTCTTCAAAGTATTTCATAAGGTCAGTCAGACATGAGTTTTGTTTTTATCATTCATATTTGTAAAGTTTAATTGAACTGGGGCAATAGTATGACAAAATATAAAAACAAATGGCAGCTCCCAACATATCATGAAGTTAACGTTTTGGGTCTGGTGACCCTTCCTCAGGACTGGTTCTGAAGAAGGGTCACTGGACCCAAAACGTTAACTCTGATATTTTCTTCAAGATGCTGCCAGACGTGCTGAGCTTTTCCAGCAATTCCTGTTTTTGTTCCTGATTTACAGCATCTGCAGTTCTTTTGGTTTATGTATCATGAAATTATGTGCACCTCAGTATGCGTATTCTAATTAAAAAACCCAAACATTTTGGAAGTAAATACCTTTGTAATTGCAGAAACAATGAAGGTTTAGATTTAACAAATCTTTGCTAAAACCTTAAATTTAAAACACTTATAGCCCCCATACAACGGGGAATCCAGTCCTTCAAAAAATAGTCATTGTCCTTCCACCATTTGCTAGGAATTTTAAAGCTCCTTGTGCCCCAGAGCAATGCTGGGTTTGCAGAGAGACAGAAAAGCCTCTTAAACCACACCTTGTTAGGGTGCAAATGTTAAGGAAACTACAAGCCAGCTTGTCAGTCTACCTTCAGGAGTGGGGAAACTATGGGAAGTAATTCTAAGGGACAGAATTAGTCTGCATTTGGAGAGGCAGCGATTAATCAAGAACAGCCAGCATAGTTTTGTTAAGGGAGATTATGTTTAACCAACTTGATTGATTTTTTGAAGAGGTGACCAGGTGTGTAGATGAAGGCAATGTATTTGATGTAGTCTACTTGGACATCACTGTGGCTTTTGATAATGTATCACATGGGAGACTGATACCGAAGGTAAAAGTCCATGGGTTCTGTGGAAAGTTAGTAAATTGGATCCAGAATTGGCTGAGTTGCAGGAAACAGAGGGTGATGGTCAAGGATTAGCTTTGTGACTGAAAACCTGTGTGCAGTGGGGTCCAAGGGAATCAGAGTTGGAGTCCTTGCTGTTTGTGGCACATATAAATGATTTAGAGTTGAATGTATGAGGGTTGATTAGTAAGTTTGCAGTTATACAGAAATAGGTGGGATGGTAAATAGTGAGGAGGATAACCTTAGATGACATGAGCACGTAAATGGGCAGGTCAGATTGGCTGATCAGTGGCAAGTGGAATTCAATCCAGATAAATGTGAAGTGATGCACTTTGGCTGGACAAACAAGGCTGAAAAAAAACCATGATGAATGGTAGGACTCCAGAAGGCACCAAGGATCAGAAGGACCTTGGAATACGTGCCCACTGGTCCCTTAAGATAGCGGGACAGTGAGATAAAGTGGTTAAGAAGGCATATCAATACTTACATTTATTACCGTGGAGTTTTAGAGCGGAAAGGACCTGTATAAAATGTTTGTTGGCCACAACTAGAGTATTGTGTGCATTTCTGAAGTCCACATCATAGGAGAGATGTGATCGCACTGGAGAAGGTGCAGAGGAGATTTACCAAAATGTTGCCAGAGCTGGAGAGTTTCAATTATGAAGAGAAATTGGATAGAATAGGATAAAATAAAGAATTGTGGATGCTGATGATCTGAAACAAAGAAATTGCTGGAGAAACTCGACAGGTCTGGCAGCATCCATCAAGAGAAAGAAGAATTAACATTTCGAGTCCAGTGACCCTTCTTCAGTTCTGAACTGGACTTGAAACAATAACTATTCTTTCTCTTCACAGATGCTGCCAGACCAGCTAAGTTTCTCTAGCAAATCCTGTTTTTGTTTTAGATAGACTGGACCATAGGAGACTGAGGAAGATCATGATTAAGATGTGTAAAATTATGGAGGGCATAGACAGAGTAGACAGGAAAAGACCTTTCCCCTTGGTGGAGGGAGTAATGGCCATGGGCTGAAGGGCCTGTTTCTGCGCTGTAGTTCTCTAAAACTCTATGAGTGTTTGCATAAAGATTAATCTATAAGTCTGAAAGGAAAAGTCAAGTTTGTAAAACAGGATAGGGATATTCATAAATTCAAGCAGCATGTCAGGAAAGGAAAAGGGCCTTGAAACTTGGCTTTGCAAAGATTGGATCATTTGGAATCAACAATCATTTTCTCTCGAACGTGCAATTCCACAGTGTGTGTGCCCTCTTCTGGTGCCAGATTACCTGCATGAAACACATTTAAATAAGGTCTTCAGGAAACCCTTGAGATTAATAAACTTTAGCAAGGCCTTTGACAAAGTACCATGTAGTAGACTGGTGAGTACGGTTAGATCACATGGGATCCAGGAAGAGCTAGCCAATTGGATACAAAATTGGCTTGACAGTAGGAGATAGAGGATGGTGATAGAGGGTTGTTTTACAGACTGGAGGCCTGTGACCGGTAGTGTGCCACAAGGATCAGTGCTAGGTCCATTGTTGTTCATCATTCATATAAATGATTTAGATGAGAATATGGGAGGCATGGTTAGTAAGTTTGTGGTTGACATGAGTACACGTGTACATATGGGATCTTAATCAACTGGGATGGGGGCCAAGGAATGGCAGATGGAGTTTTATTTACATAAATGTGAGGTGTTGCATCTTGTTAAGACAAATCAGGGCAGGGCTTACACAGTCAATGGTAGGGCCCTGGGGAGTGTTGTCCAACAGAGAGACCTA